TGATGGAAGAAATAAATGGCGGTTTGCTAGGTAGAAGCAGGATAGGCTTCTTTAAAGAGAGAGGTTTTCAGGGATCGTCTAAAGGTGGATAGATTAGGAGACAGCCGGACAGATTGGGGTAGGGAGTTCCATAGGATGGGAGATGCTTGGGAGAAGTTCTGGAGGCGAGCATGGGAGGAGGTGTCACAGGAACTAGAGAGCAGAAGGTCTTGTGAGGATCTAAGAGCGGTTTGGTTGGTATTTTGAGATGTTAGTGATGTAGCTGGGGGCAGAGTTGTGGATGGCTTTGTAAGTTGTTAGTATTTTGAATTTTATTAGTTGGGCGAGTGGAAGCCAGTGGAGGGATTGGCAGAGAGGGGTAGCAGACACTGAACGGTTGGTAAGGTGGATGAGCCATGCAGCAGTATTCATGATTCAAATTAGGATGTGAAATGCTGGATGAAAAAAATCTCAACAGATTCCTCCTTGCACACGATGCAGCATGGATGGAAGAATATCCCCCTGCAGCTGTTGTATTCTGACAGCCAGCACCAGCGACACTGATTGGACGCAGCTACTGTTTTTCAACAAATTGTTGGTTTGGTTTCTTCAATTTTCCAATCGAAGGATGTCAGGCGGAAGGTTGGTAACAGAGCCACCCCATGGAGCAAAGTCACATAGCTTTAAACTCCTGTCCTTGTAATGTTCCCAAAGAGATTTTCCAGTGCTTCCTAAGATGGGTAGTTGGCACCTGTCTGTATCAACAGTACAGGATGTGTGTACATTGTGAAAAGTGGCCTGGTGCAGAAGCACATAAACGTGGTGGCTGTTGACGATTTTAATGTACTATGTGTGTTCTGCTATACAACGTACTTGTAGATGTGTCTGGGATTTGTTCACAATGTTTTTCCAGCTGTCTGAAGATGAAGGAAAAAAAGAATTTAAAGAACCCCCATACTAGAATTGGATATTTTTAACACAGACTATTTAAAATCATTGAGGCCAAATGAAATGGAGTTAATTTTGTTTGTGGTTTAAAGGGGAACTGAAGCCTTTTAAAGAAACATTGCTGGCAGGTAGGTAAGAGAGATGCTTTCTATTTATCGTTGGAAAGAGTAGGGAAGGGTTACGGCCTCTGCTAGGTATTGCTGTATGTGACCCAGCTGGGAGAGATCCACTGTTTGTCTTGGGGGACCATTGTCACCTAAACAGAAAGTAATGGGAAATCCGAACTTTTATTGTTGTCATCTGAATTTCCTTTTATTTCCTGTTGTGTCTTTAGGGTCAGAGGTAAAAAAAAGATCCTTATAACCATTCCTTACCCTATCCAAAACTAAAAAGAAAAAAAAAAAACCCCAAAAAAACGTTCTTAACATGCTACTTCCATGAAGGTCCTTGTTCAGACATTTCCTGTTTAGAAGTTACAATGGTCTCCAAATTGTTCTCCTATGTTGTTACCTTGTCATGTGCACCTTTGGTTGAAAACTATAAGTGGCTGCTCTGACTCTCATTACACAGCCATGATCCACTGTTGACAGCTTTAGGAAGCTGGCCCAGAGCAATGATACAACCACCTCCCCCCCGTTTTACAGGTGTTTAGGGTAGGAAAATCACGTGCATTCAAGAGAAAAGCGTATTGGTAGAAAAACCACCTGACGCTCTTAAACGTGTGTTAAGGCATGTGTTAAAACGTGTGTTTTTATATAACCTAACCCTGTTTTAAACTTCACCACAACTTTATCCCTGACCTGTCTGGTGTGTTTCTTGGCCTTCATGATGCGTTTTTTTTCACTGATGTTCTCTAACAAACCTCTGAGGGCTTTACAGAACAGCTGTATTTATATTGAGATTAAATTACACACAGGTGGACTCTATTTACTAATTAGGTGACTTCTGAAGGCAATTGGTTTCACTAGATTTTAGTTGGGGGTACTAGAGTTAAGGGGGCTGAATACAAATGCATGCCACACTTTTCATATATTTATTTGTAAAAAACATTTGAAAACCATTTATTGTTTTCCTTCCACTTCACAATTATGTGCCACTTTGTGTTCGTCTATCGTCATAAAATACATTTTATGTTTTTGGGTGTAACATGACAAAATGTGGAAAATTTCAAGGGTTATAAATACTCAAGGCACTCTACAAGAACTTCCAGTGGGATCGCCGTGGTGATCCAACCTAAAGTGGGAATGGGTTCCTGCCAAAACCAGGTACCCACTTTTCCCACCCACCAAAAAAGTTCCAAAAGTAGAAGGGGGAGGGGGGGGGAGAGAGGAGGACATAAAGTGGAACATCCCTTTATGCCCTTGTAAGCCATAATATGATTCTGGAGTTCTACTATAATATTTTTCATATTCCTTATGGTTGTAAAACATAAAAACAAAAATGCAATTTTTAGCTGATCTTGTGCTACGTTCTATGATACCTTGTGTTTGGATGGATATCGGAGAGATGTTTGCATAGCATGTGAAATAGCATGTCAATACAGTACATTTAAGCTTACCATACATGGATCGAAATTTGACTGGTTTAGCAGGGACTGGCTGAATTTCGAACCATGTATAGACACCCAGGTTGTACAGAATTTGATTCATCTACAACCACTCTCGGGCCTTTCCTGAATAATCAATGCCAATCATTGTGTTCTGACTGTGGGGAAGACTCCTCACCGTCTTGGGCCTTTATAGTGCTTTGAAGTCTGTTTTAAAGGACGTTGACTTTCTTCCCCTTTCTCTCCTACAGTTTACTCCAGAAGTTTCTTTGATATCAGACCCTCAAAAACAATGCACAATAGGGAGAATGCCATATGTAATAATATTAGGACTCCAAAAATATATTTTTGCAACTTTCTTGAGGGTTCTGTTATGTGGCATATTTGGGGTCTGGTTCTCAGATGGTTAAATATTTACATAATGGTTTGAGTGCTGATCCTTGCAGTACTCTGAGTCCAGGCTGTGTGATGACCTCCTGAGTTAGGTCCATGTCCTGGGCTAAGGAAAAGTGGCCATGTTTCATCCTGAAAGGCTGTTTTTTTTCTAGTGGTGGAGTAGTAGTACTGTGGGGGCACTCAGCTCTGGTTCGAAGGATTAAATTATAACTAAAGAAAAACCTTTTTTTTTTTTTTTTTTTTTTTTTTTTAAGTTTTGGATGGAGTGGAGAGGGATTGGAACACCTGTCAGTTGTTATTGCTGTGTGCCCCTGTTAAGGAGATTCACCCTCTCTATTTGTCCTTCATTCATTGTCATTGAAAGTGAAAGTAAAAAAAAAAATTCCAAATTGTCCCCAGAAAAGTAATGGGGGGGATCTTCCAATGGGAACACTAGCTCTGGTGACCTCGGGGTCCCCAAGGAATTTCCTTAAATTGCAGGGATTTCCTCTCTATTCCTGTTTGCCTATGGGACAGGAAGTGAAGGGAAATCTCCACAATGGGACACAGATGACGGGAAAAAAAATCTGACAGGGGTTATAATCCTCCCTTGCTCTATCCAAAATGGAAAAAAAAAGTTTTGCCTAAAGTTCTACTTTAAAGGTATGTATTGTTTTCTCCTCTCTTTATTTTATTTTCTTTCTTTTTTTTAGCTGGGCTATTTTTAACTATTTTAAACTGGGTTTTATTCCTAACGAAGTGACTAAAGAGCAGCAGTGAGAAATATCAGTCAATCATATGATGTATTATTCAATTGCACGAAACCAATGGATTTTTTGAGTATACCAAGTATGTTCATGTTTTTAACAAATATCCATGTGTTGGAACCCAAAATAAGCTTTTGTTTATACACCCATTTGTATTTCAAGTACATAACAAATGGGGCAGTGATAACTCGTTATGTAATTTGCGCATATTTTATTATAATAATTATGTGTTTATGTGCATTAATTCTCCTGTTATGTTACTTAATTACAGTCATTTGATGCAAAGAGACTGCCCATCAGTGATATCTGTTACATTGCATCTTTAAAGCAGTAGTAAAGGCCAGTAAAGAAGAAAAAAAAAAGCATTATGTGCTTGTTTAGTGTAAACATTTTCGATATGGAAAAAATATTGTTGTATAATATGAAATAATGTATGTTAATTAACTTAATAAAAGATACAGTAATTAAAAAGAAAAGCGCATAATGTGCTAGTATGCATTGAGTACTAGCACATTATGGAAGACTTACTTTAAAACGAAGCCCTCCGACAGCTCGCTGACAGGGCTTCAGGGCATGCTGTCCCTTCAGAACGCAGTGTGCATGTGCCGGTGATGTCAGTAGTAGTGAATATCTCCTAAACGGTGCACATTTAGGAGATATGCCTTGTACCTACAGGTAAGTTTTATTATAAGCTCACCTGTAGGTACAAGTGAGCAAGCAGTGTTTACTACCACTTTAATGTTAAGGTTGACCTGAAAGAATTTTATTAAAGAGAAGTTTAAAGGAAAATTGTACTGAGAAACGTTTGGAGATTGCCATTGATGGCCTTCTGAAAATTCCAGTTACCTGGCTGTAATACTGATGATGTGGCCTAAATGCTTTATTTGCTGATCAAGATTAGAACAAAACTGAAGTCGGGGATAATCGCCTATTCTCCAACACAGTCTTTCTCAACCAAGGTGCCTTGAGGTTTCTTCAGTGGTGCCTTGGCAAAATGTCTAAAAATTGCCCAAAACATGTATAGCCAGCGGGTGGAACAAGCCTGCTTTTTTTCTTACACAAAGTTGCAAGTTTTCATTGCGCACCATTTATGACCTTCTAGCTGCCGGTGTCCTGACAACCAATGACATCAGTTGATAAAAAGGATGTCAGCTGCCTGCACAGCATCCTAGTTTGACCCTCCCTTGCTCCTCTCCATCAGTGCTGGGGTCACATTAACTCAGTGATGGAGAAAAAAACTGAGGGGGAAGAGAAACATTGGAATACTAGTCAGTACCAGTATGCAAAAGTGTCTTTGCTCTGGAAGAATAAATCGCCTAACGTTGGGTGTCCTACATGGGTGGATGTTACTGCCTTATATAAAAACTATTAGAATCATTTTTCACATTTTAGAAAGGAGTGCCCTTTTAAAATTATGGATAGTCCCAAGGCACCGTTTAATACTATGGACATTTTGAGGCACCACATTCTAAAATGGGGTGCCTCAAGACTGTCCATAATTTTAAAGGGTGACTCGTGACTGTCCATAATTTTAAAGGTTGAGAAACACTGCTCCAACAGTCCGATGCCTGCGAGGTCCTTCACCAGTACCAGCGTCTTCATCTGGCTTTCTCCAGGTGCCAGTCTTCGGTCATCTTGATTTGCTGGTGCAGGAAGACGTCACGGCCATGCATATGCTGTAGTGCAGTCATCCCGGTACAGTAGTAATATTGTGCCAGAAATGTAACTGAGCTGCGCTTGCGTGCCTCCTTGTACATTTTGCTAAAGATGGCTGACAGGCAGGTAAGCGTATTTTATTGCAGAAAACATATTGCATGTCTATTCTGCATTAAAGAACCTGCCTGTTTGCAATTATTCTTTTTCAGCCTTTAGTCCGACTTTTAAGTGTAAAGATAAGGAGCTCTGACTTCCAACACCATGCTACATGCTTGTTCTGTCCTTGTGACTCGAGGGTTTGAAGCCAGGCAACTAATGTTTACTGAAAGAGACTCCAATGGCAGCCCACACATTTCTCTTATGACTGGGGTACCCAAAGGTCGTGGTTTTTTTTTTTCTTTTATTTCACAACTGAAGAGCTTGGCTATGGTTCTTGTTGCTAGGAAATAACATAACTATTACTTTTACCTAATGGTGGGCTTTCTTCATACAAATCAACATAATGCTGGGCAACAGTATGACTCTATTTAGGTATCAACATAAAGGCTCTTAATGATGTACAACAAACTACACTACAATAGACACCGCTTGGAAAGCTTAAAGGATAACCTACCTACTGTATATGGTGAATGCTGGTGTAGGCTGATGCTGCAGCACTAGGTGACATATCTGCGCTTATGGGCATTGATGAAACCATTTCCTTTTCATGCTGATCATTCCAAATTGCTGGACGACCTTTGCAACAGTAATGATCCTTTTCAACCCTTATACTCATCATTCTTATGCCTACTCCTACATTGCTTGATTAATATTACATAATGCTGAGGTTTATTTTATTACATAATTTAGAAGTTTATAGACACATTTAGACCTTGTTGAGTTGGGTGTTACCCAGAAAGGCACGTGGGATGTGTTTAGGGTGGAGTGGGGAGGTTGCAGAAAGCAGCGGAGGAAACTTGGATTTAGCCATGCATATCAGACTTAAAGGATCCGTTCATCCTATAATATAATTTATAGTTGGAACCTAGTGGACTGACTCAGGGTTAGGATTAGCTTCTTCTATGCCTAGATATCCCAACAACAAGATCTCCCTGCTATAACTTCTTAACTGTAGTCCTGTTCAACTGGGAGTTTGGGTGTCATGCCTACCTTCATATATTCCATCACCTTTCTGTTCTGTTCTCTGTAATATAAAATAAATGCATAAAATAAAAATTGATTAGGAAAAATGGGATCACCTCATAATGGCCGCGGCGGGTGTGCAGACTAACATGTTCAAGCTCTGATCTCTTCCCAATAGGTTCACTGAGAGGTATAAAAAAAAAACTGCCAGGTGCCTTTACACTCCAGGACATAACGCATACTAAAATATTTATTATATGCTGTGGCTCTTTAAATTTGCATTAATGCATAATAGGGTTTATTAATGAAAACTAGACATCATACATTTTTACATATCCGCAATTAATATGTACTTTTAAGTTTTTGTTTTTTTTTTGTCTTACCCAAAGATTTGGGGCCTGCTCACAGCAGGTGCATTGAGAGTGTGCAGTCTTGCCCATTGCAAAAATCATGCCAGTTCACTCCACTACGTTTATTAAGTACAGCATGGTGTGACGCAGTCCATTACATTGCATCACACTACAACCAACAGACCTTAAAGCGTAACGTCACCCAAAAGGGGAAGTTTCGCTGTTCCTCGACCTTCATCATATCCCTCTGTCATATTTGGCACATTTTTTTTTCTTAGTGGGGGTGGTGAGGGGAGTTTGTACCTGAAAGGCACGTGGGATTTGTTTAGGGTGGAGTGGGGAGGTTGCAGAAAACAGCGGAGGAAACTTAGATTTAGCCATGCATTTTCAGACTTAAAGGATATGTTCATCCTATAATATAGTTTATAGTTGGAACCTAGTGGACTGACTCAGGGTTAGGATTAGCTTCTTCTATGCCTAGATATCCCAACAACAAGATCTCCCTGCTATAACTTCTTAACTGTAGTCCTGTTCAACTGGGAGTTTGGGTGTCATCCCCACCTTCATCCTATAATGTAATTTATAGTTGGAACCTTGTGGACTGACTCAGGTCTGTACCTGGTTTTGACAGGTAACCGCTCCCACTTCCGCTCAGATCACCTAGCCAATCCAAGTGGAAGTTCTCCTTCTGGACCCATTCACAAAGTGAAACGTGGCTCACCTACAGTGGGCAGCATTTCCCTTACCCGGAAATGCAAAATCACACACACACGTATATGTATGTGTATATATATATATATATATATGTGTGTGTGTGTGATTTTGCGCAGCCCTGCTTCCCTGTAGCAGTAGGTCTGCTATAGGGCGGTCAGGAATCGGTTAAACTTATCCACAACTTTATCCCTGACCTGTCTGATGTGGCCCTTAAAATTGGAACTTTCATCTCTTCCTTTTTTAACATAGGCAGGGGTACTAAACAGGGCTGCCCTTTCTCCCTTCCTCTTTTCACTTATGATAGAACCTCTGGCTGCATTTTTCTTCGGAGGTTGGTGCAATAAAAGTGGTATCAATCAAAGAATGCCTTGCATTATATGCTGATGACCTTCTGATTTTTCTTAGATTCGGGTCCATCTCTTAGTGCTGTCCTCCACATAGTAAATAAGTATGCAACTTTTTCCGGACTCCAAGTAAACTGGAATAAGTTCATTATCCTACCGTTGAATTCTGGGACCCGGCCTGCTGCGGATGCTTCTCTGTGTCTGCAGTGGATGACCTAATTTACCTACCTGTGCGTTTGGATATCTGCTAAGGTTAAAGACTAGAATAGCTTGAACCTATTGCCTCTGATTGACCTTTTTGAAATCTAAGATAGCGGCGTGGTGCAGTCTTCCACTGTCCCTGCTGGGGCGTATTGATCTTCCCAGAGTGAAGATTCTACTGATGATCTTCTTCTATTTCCTATGAAACTCCCCTGCCTGGATCCCACACTCATTTTTTTTTTACATGTTCACAGACTATTCAGCACCTTTATCTGGGGTCTTCAATTCCTAGGATTGGCCTGAGGGTGTTTCAGGAACTCTGAGGTCAGGGAGGCCACTTCCTGACCTCTATAAATATTTAGCTGGACAAGGAGTGTTGGCTAAGTGGTTAGCACTTCCGCTGGCAGCACTAGGGTCATTGGTTGGAATGCCTGGAGTTTGCATGTTCTCCCTGTGCTTGTGTGGGTTTCCTCCAGGTACTCCGGTTTCCTCCCCCACAGGAAAGCTGAATCTAGGGAGCTGTCTTTCCTCGCACTGACATCATGAAGGCTAGTATTAAAGCTTGGGAGGTTACTCCGCACATTCTGGCCCTGGCCTGGACTGATGTACCACAGACTTCTCTGCTCTGGTGGAATCCCAAGTTTCCTCATTTTGCCTCTATACTTGACCCTATTATATGGGCTTTCAAGGGTGTCAAGACTCTGGAGGATGTAGTGGGGGGGAGGCGGGGGGGGGGGGGGTGTACTGCTCACATCTGATGACCTGAAGCATAAATTTAACCTCCTCAATTTCTATCTCTTTCGTTACTTGCAACCAAAACATGCCTTTATCACTCAGTTTGGCTGCATTCGTACCTTCCTCATTTAAAAATGCCCTTACAGACGAATCACTGAAAAAAACAATGTCTGAACTACACAAAGAGCTTTTTCCAACTTCCCCTCCCTCAGTAACTCGGTGTCCGGTGAAATGGATGGAGGAGTTGGATGGAGGGGACTGGGACGATATGTGGACCTCTCCATTTTCTCATCTGGTATCTTTCGAGATAGATTGATCCATTTTAAATTCTTGCACAGAATATATTATACCCCTACCAAATTGGCTCAAATCTACCTGCAGGTGTCCGCGGAGTGATTGTGTTGCTCGCACTCCATGGCCACCTTTTGGACATATTTTTTGGGATTGAAGTTCTCGAAAGATCTGATGCATTGTGTTAATAAGATCGCAACTGTACCAGTTCCGGTGACTGTGTCATCCTGTCTTCTCAGCCAGGTGGAAGGTCCTGCTAGGACTCTACGCACCCTGCTTAGCCTCCTACTATTTTATGCTCACAAAGCCGTAATTCTATGTTGGAAAAAAACCTGAGGTTCCCTCTTTATCTTACTAGAAAAGGTTGGTCAACAAAATGCTTCCATTATAAAAGGCCACCTACAGCGGCAGGGGTGTCCAAAACTTTTTTTACAAGGTTTGGCAGGTGTGGCTGGACAGCTCTTACACCTCTGTCTAAACATGTGTATCTATGGCTTTCTATGTTTCCTAGCCTGGTCCTGGCCACGTACTTGGAATCCCCTTGCAGACATTTCTCTACCTTAGGATCATCTGTTACTTTTCCCCTGATTCAGGGACAACACTACATATGAGTATCCTACCTCCTGGGCCCCCTTTTTTATCCTTACTATACAGGGAGATCATGGCTGGCAGCTCTCTCTACTGTGCCCATGGAAGCTTTGGTATCCGGTATAGTTAATTGTTGCCATTTGGGGTAGCCTGGTTGGGAGGGGAATATTTTTCTTTACTATGGTCTCTGTGTGAGTTCTATTTAATTTTGGCCCTACGAGGCCACCGTTTTCTGTCTGTTTTTTTTTTTTCTGTTATAACTGTATGTTTTTGTTTATATACATGGGTAAAGCTCAATAAAAATAATTAAAAAAAAAAAAAAATTCTGTCTAATGCCACTTTTGAGGCAAGTGAGCCTCTAGGGCCAGACTGTCAAACCCTGGACTAGAGATTAAAATTCAGATGAAAAATTGACAGCCGGAACAAAGGTTTATGTGTCTCAGACAAGTTACTAAACCCAGTCTGAGGGGATATTTATAAGTTTAGCAG